ATCGAGATAAGTTAGTTTGAAGGTTCCAATATTAGATTAAGGGGTTGTTTGGGGTGTCTTAAATAAGTGTACTTTTTGTCTTTTTAGACTAAAAAGTTGAGGAAAAAAATATGGATGTTTGGGTTAATTTTTTGACTTTTTTATAAAAAAAATGTGTATTAAGACTTTGTATAAATAAATGTATAGGAGAAGTTAATGGAGTAGGCCGTACAGATTGGGCTGTGTAGTCGGTTGGGTAGGAGATGGGAAAATATTGCCTCCTTTTTGGGTTTTAATTGGACGGTGTTGTTCGGCCCGTGGGGGCCCACAACAGGTCCAGTTTTCTAATCGGAACCGTTTATGTGTAAAACTCATCGAGTGCTATATGCTTGTGAAAATTCACGTTGATTGGATATCGATAGCTATCTGATTGTGTTAGTTTTTTTATCAACTGTTACTATAACATCATTATTTTTTATACAAATTGTTTTAATCATGTAATTAGCGATATCCGCTAGACGTTATTTTTTATAGGCATATAATACTGGATGAGTTCTACATATTAAACAGTTTTTATTATCAAAACGGGACCCATGGTGGCTCCACGAGCCCGACTTGACCATCAAACTTACTGCATATACACATATAATTTTTTTTTTCTTTCTTTCACTGCCTTTGCTTTTACGTCAGTACCTAGAGTGGTGTGGCGTGAAGTTGATTTGTATTTTAATATTATGTATATTAATCTTTATATATTTTTTTGTGAATAATGATAACTTTTTAATTTTTTTGATAACTTTATGACTTTTTTTTTTAAGTTCTCAAACCAGGCCTATATATTAAAAATGAGTCTAGAAAATTTAGTTTGGGTCGATTTTTTTTTTTTCCCCAACAATTCTTGGTTTAAGCATATAATACATCTTATTTTAATAACTCAATATAATAAAAAAATAATAATAATCTTAATATTTATGGTGCTTTTTGTCAATCCATAAAAAATATTTATAAATATTAAGAGAATTACATTTGAACAAATTCTAACATAAAATTTTTACTTTAAAACTCTATGACCTACACATTTTGTTTGATTCTATCTACATCACTAATCTTTGGAGGTTTAATTAATTTTTTTTTAATGGAATGTCAGTTTGCTATAATATAGATATATAGATTAGAATATCGATGCATATAAAATTATTAAATATTAAGACAAAATAAATATGAAAGATGTAGATTAATTCCTACATTTTAGAAGTATCAAAATTCAAATTCAAATTTATAATTTAGTTAACTTTCCTTCTCAATTTCTAAATTTAAATTTTTAAATAAATTAATTAACTTTTTTTTTTAAATGGGTAAATCAAGGCATAAAAGTTATTTAAAAATTTAAATAGATTAACTAACTTTCTTTTTAAATTTAAATTTGTAAATGAATTAATTAACTTTTATTTTAAAATGTGTAAATCAAGTCATAAAAGCTATTTAAATTTTTAAATAGATTAATTAACTTTCCTTTCAAATTTAATTTTTTAAATGAATTAATTAACTTTCCTTTTGAAATATGTAAATCAAGGCATAAAAAACTATTTAAATATTTAAATAGATTAATTAACTTTCTTTTTAAATGGATTAATTACTATTTTTTATAAAAAATAATTGAGCAATCCCATCAATAACCATAATGTATGGGAGAAGTTAAAAAGGGTGTTGCAGTAACTATAAGAGAAGTTAAAAAGACTTGTGGATTGAAAGAAGTCAATAAATTGTAAGTTTTTTTTTTAAATCAAAAAATTAGAAAATTGAGATTGAGATATTGGAACTCCCACAAGACTTATGGGTTAGAAACCCCATTTTTCTCATATAATACTAGCATATCACCCGTGCTATGCATGAATTGTATTTACAACTATCTATATATGTGAATTGTGATTTTTTCTTATATAATATACTAGCATATCACCCGTGCTATGCACGGATTGTGTTTACAATTATCTATATATGTGAATTGCGATTTTTTAATTTATTTTTTTTAAATGCTTTCTTTTTTTTCCCTTTTTTATATTATATTAAGCTTTAATATTTTGATAATAATCATATGTGTTAGACTTTTCAAGGAATTAAATATCTTTTTTTTTATTATATTATATTAAAATGTAATATTTTGATAATGATCATATGTGTTGGACCTTTCCATAAATTTTTTTTATACTTGTTCTTAATGCATTAAAGTGTTATTATGAGAGATAATAGTCATATGTGTTGGGACTTTTCAATGAATTCACATGTGTTGGATTTAAAAAAAAAAATTTATGCTTGTTTTTAATGCATTAAAATGTTATTATGAGATATTGGAACCCACAAGTCTTGTAGGAGTTCCAATATCTCATAATAATACTAGCCTATCACCCGTGCTATTTATGCACGGGATAATTATAGATATTTATACTTGTTTTAGATTTTTTTTAATATATAAATTATGTTTTTTAAAATTTTTTATAAAAATAATTTAACAATTTTATCACTAACCATAATGTATAAGAGAAGTTGAAAAGGGTACTGCAGTAACTATACATAGATTGTATCTATAATTATTTTTATGAGGGGATTTTAAATGCTGATCAGGAAATTTTGACCAAATCAATAAATACAGGCATGTGGAAAGACGTGGATTAAAAAAAAGTTAATAAATGCTGATCAGGAGATTTTGACCAAATCAATAAATGCTGAGTTTTTTTTTAATAAAATATTTAGAAAATTCAGATTGAGATATTGAAGCTCCCACAGGCCTTGTGGTTAAAAACTTCCTTTTGCTTAATATATAGTACTAGCATATCACCCGTGCTATGCACGGATTGTGTTTATGTGAATTGTGATTTTTTAATATATATTTTTTAAATGTCTTCTTTTTTTTTTTTCCGTTTTTTATATTATATTAAAATTTAATATTTTGATAATAATCATATATATTGGACTTTTCAAGAAATTAAATGTTTTTTTTTTTTTATTATATTATATTAAAGTTTAATATTTTAATAATAATTATATGTGGGACTTTTCAAGGAATTTATGTGTTAGATTTTAAAGAATTTTTTTTATGCTTGTTTTTAATGCATTAAAGTGTTATTATGAGGGTAAGACTTGAGAGTTGGAAGAAGTTAATAAATACTAAGATTTTTAAAAAAAAAAATCAAAAAATCAAGAAATTTAGATTGGGAGATTGGAGCTCCCACAAGACTTGGGGTTAAAAATCCCATTTTGCTTAATATATAGTATAGATTAATATATAGTATATAGTATAGATTAGAATAATTATAGATATTTATATTTGTTTTAGATTTTTTTTAGTATATAAATTATGTTTTTTAAGATTTTTTATAAAAATAATTTAACAATCTTATCACTAACCATAGTGTATGAGAAAAGTTAAAAAAAGTACTGCAATAACTATGTATGATTGTATCTATAATTATTTATACGAGAAGATTTTAAATGCTGATCAGGAGATTTTGACAAAATCAATAAATGCAGACATGTGGATTGGAAAAAGTTAATAAATGCTGATCAGGAGATTTTGACCAAATCAATATATGCTGAGGTTTTTTTTTTTTTTAAATCAAAAAATTTAGATTGAGATATTTGAGTTCCCATAAAGCTTGAGATTAGAAACCTCATTTCCTTAATATATAGATAGATAGATGGCACTTACCACATGAAAAATCACATATGAGTGGGGAGTTGATATAAATATTTCGATATAACTCAAATTGTCCATTATCGCTCAATTCCATATTTAATTTTGTGACTCGAAATAAATTACTTTAAACATTCTGTAATCTACACATGCCAGCTTAAAAAGTGACACAAATTCCAATACAAAAATAACTAAAATACCCTCCTCAAAATAACTTATCATCGAACGATGTACCTAATTCCATTAGTCTCATTTTCAGCCCCAAAAAAGAATTAGTAACAATAATAATGTTTACCCTTATCAGCATAATAATAACTACCAATTATCAAATATCAATATGAAAATCAAAATACAGGGGAAGCCGAATTAGAAAGCCAAAGATCAATAACTTGAAAAAAAATTTCTATGCACAGGATAATTATAGATATTTATATTTGTTTTAATTTTTTTTTAATATATAATTTATATTTTTTAAAGTTAAAAAGATTTGGAAGAATTTAATAAGTGTTAAGTTTTTTTTTTAAAAAAAATCAAAAAAATTAAGAAATTAAGGTTCAGATATTGAAACTCTCACAAAACTTGTGGGTTAGAGATAGATATAAATAAATAGATAGATATAGATATAGATATTTATATTTGATTTAAATTATTTTAAATATACAAATTATTTATTTTTGAAAAGGTACTGCAGTAATTATGAGAGAAGTAAAAAAGTCTTGTGGGTTAAGAGAAGTTAATAAATGCTGAGGTTAATTTTTTTTTTAAAACAGAAAAATAAAAAATTATGATTGGCATATTGGAGCTTCCACAGGCTTTAGGGGCTAGAAACCCCTTTTTGCTAAGATTTTTTTTTTAAAAAAATCAAAAAATCAAGAAATTTAGATTGGGAGATTAGATCTCGTGGGGTTAAAAACTCCATTTTGCTTAATATATTATATAGATAGATATTTTATTACATATTTTTTCATAAAAAGTTATCCAAAACATACATATTTTTCTTTTATTTTTTTAATTAAAAAATCAAAAAATACACTTATATAATACATCCCAAACAATTACTTAGGATTGATTTGGGGTGTACTATGAAAAGATGTGTAGAAAAGTAGAGAGGTAATGTGATGAAAAAAAGATAAAAAGATGGATTATATAGTAGATGACAAACAAGCTTTAATATTAATCTATTATTTCGTAACATTTGTGTGGTGTTGGAAACTAACGCGTCACACACAATTGGGTTTGGCTGGGGGGATGGATGCACTGGTGGTGCCACAGGTGTGCTGATTTTCTGACTCTCCCACTACTAAATGCCAATCACGTGTTGCTAAGACTTGATTACACAGCGAATCCAATTTACCATACACACCCTTCCCTACAGCCGCGTTTGACGATACCATTTGCGTTTCCTTCGCCGAAAGCTAAAAAGTAAAAAAACCCAGCTCACCGCCACCAGCTTCACCCCTATTGGCTACTCTCTCTCTTTGTGGTTTCGTCTCGCTCTGAATTTCCTATCCCCCAACCAAGACCGGTCAATCTCGATGTGTGCTCGATCCAAACACTCGCAATTGAGAAGAAATCTAGGGTTTTTCCGACTTTGATTCTTCTGCTTACAGGCCTTGTACGATGGAAGTCGAGAAGATTCACCAAATGGACGACTCGCAGGAAGTCGGAGTTCCTGTGGTGGTTTCCGATTCCGGTGCGGAGGTCAAAGTTGGTGAAAGCGGCGGCGAAGGGAAGCGGAAGCGTGGTCGGCCGCCGAGGGGCCAGGCGAAACCGCCGCCGGCGAAGAAGCCGAAGGATGAGGAGGACGTTTGCTTTATATGCTTCGATGGTGGAAGCCTCGTGCTTTGCGATCGCCGGTGAGTCGATTGGTTTCGATTGTTGAGAATTGGTGCTTTGTGTTCTTAGCTTTAGGGTACCTTTTCGTCAGCACATTTTAGAACTACTTTCTACTACTCTTGAAAACCATTGTTTGGTTTCTACTAACTAAAGCAACAAAGTATTTTAGAAATGATAGCGGGGCAGTAGTATTTTACGTTCCTTACCCTATTTGTTCATTCATTCATTTTTTTAATAATTTTTTGTTGTTAATTGTTAGGGGCTGCCCTAAGGCATACCATCCAGCTTGTATTAAGCGAGATGAGGCATTTTTTCGATCAAGGGTTAAATGGAATTGCGGTATGTTTCCATGTTTAACTCAAAGCACTACAACTCTTACCATATGTTATATCTGTTGGTGTTTGATTTGAATTTGTTCTATTATTGTGATTATGTACCATCCATGACATTGGCATATTACTTAAATGAGTTGTATAACAAATATAAAAAAAAACCTGAAAGTGAAATGTACAAGTCTGATCAATTATATCCAACCTTCGTTTGTTCAAGTACCTAGTATGGGCATGATTATGGCTTTAGTTTCCACACTTGTGCTTGAAGTTTAAATTTTTGAAAATAGGAAGCGCCTTTAGAAAACTAAGTCGGGAATGATTGTGCCGTGGGGATATGTGAAAAATGCCAAGAAAACAATCAAAACTTACAAGTTGAGATCCCTATTAGGGGTTGTATATGTTACAAATAATTTAAATAAAATTTATGGTAACATTGGCCCTGTTTGGTGTTGTTGTTAAAAAAGATCATAGCTTATAACTTAACAGATTATAAATTTTGACTTTAATGAGAAGCTATATTATTTTGTTTGGTGCAATTGTTGGATTATAGAATTAAGTTGCCGAGTAGTGTTTGTTAAATAAGTTATGAAGTGGCTTTTTGCCGTGTAAATGTCTTTTTTTATCCATGTCGGTTGTAAAATGAATTTACATTTACGTTTTGTAATTAATTACCAGATTAAGAGATCATTCTAACATTAAATAAACATGAACCAAAAGGGGTTAGTCTGGTGGTCAAGGCTGGGGGCCTGGGGGTGTGCTCCTTTCATGGTCTCAGGTTTGAAAAATAATTGCTTGGGGCTAGTCCGTATGAGGCTTTGCCCTGGCTTTAATTGGGACCCCCTACCAGTGGATGGCGGGATTGGTCCCTTAGCTTAGTTGGTCCTTTGAGCTGGATAAAAAGTTATCAAAAAAACATAAACATTAAACAAACATGGATGCTTTACGTTGTAATGATCATTTCCTTGAGAAATTGACATTAAAATGTCACATATTTTAAAAAATAGCTATAATTTTCTTACTATACCGAATCTTGAACAATTAATAAGAGTTTAAGAAATCTGAAGAAGAGAGGATATTGGAAATTGTTTGCATTAAATGTTGGGCACATTGATGAAACGACAACTGTATGAAGAAACAAGTGAATATATATAGTGACATGATGGTTATTAGTTATTGTTGTGGACATTTTAGTAATTGAATCAACCTTTTCGCATAATTGAGAAGCGGAAGCGCCCCTTCGGTAGCTTGAGAGATTCTACTTATTTACCTTTCCGCAGAAGCTAATTTAAGTAGAGATTCCATGTATAAGTTGGACCAAACATGCAAGAATAGCTTAAATTAAGCTAAAAGTTAAAAGCTACCTGTTTTAAGCTGTACCAAATAGCTACACTGACCTCCCTTGAAGGTTTAGTTATGGATATAATAAAAAAAAGACACCTTCCCTTATGTTCTAGAAGTTATACTAACCTCCTTTGTCAAAGTTTGTTGGTTTGATGACACTATTGGGTGCTACCAAATTATACTTTTGTGGCTTTGCCTCTCATTCAATAAATGTATTCTTATAAAAGGGTCAAAAATTAACTATGGTTCTCATTCAACACATTTTGATGTAAAAAGGCAAAAAAATTAACTAAACTTAATTAAACTAATCATCTCTATTTAGTAAAAATCTTTCTCATGAAATCTCAACCATCATCGTATCTCTCTCTTTACAACTGGACCTATCACAAATGACACAACCACCATCCTAGACCCGCCATTGCATCCCCATACACAAACACCCCATCATCACCATTTTGTCTTACAAATGAACCCATCATAAATGATGTCGCCACCATCGCGGACCCACCACTTGGGGACATCGTACTGGGCCTAGGTTAGAAAATACAAAAACTCTTGTGCCCAAGCTTTGCCTAATTGAGCCTAATTTTCTCATTCCAAACTTGGTCCTATAATAGAATCAAAATACAAAGCCAAGCCTACGAACCTATATATTAAATAAAAACAAATGTTAGCCTTTACATCATAGGTACAAATTTAGACTAGTGCATTTTCTTTATTTAAAAAAATTAACTAATAAATTATATATGTATATACATACTAATGTATATGCATGTATATAATATGGGTGTTTGAGAAGTGGGTTTTTTTGTAGATTTTTTTAGTTGTAGAATATTATTGAAGAATTTTTTTTTTGTGTTTGGGAAGATAGTTGGGTTTTTTTGTGGTTGGATGTGATGTTTGTGAGAGAAAAAATGAAATGATTATGGGGTTTGATGTTTTATTTTGTTTGGATTTGTTTTTTTTGGTTTTGTAAAACATTTGTCTTGTAGTGAAAAAAAAAAAAACTCAAAAACCAAGTTCCCAAACACCCCCAATATGTATAATATATATTATTAACAATGCCCAACCCATTTAATAAACGGGTCTAAAATTCATCCGGACTCAACCTTATTGGCTTAAATATTAATCTCAAGCTCTTAAAAATAGATAGATTTGGTGGGCCATCTGGTTTGTCTTTACCCTACATCAATAGTCAACACCACTATCAACACCTCCCCTAACTATCATCATGGTCACGTGTCATCACAATTTCCATCGGCATGGCAATCTGTTCCTCGATTGCCACTGCCATATCATCACTTCTTACTCTTTCTTTCTCACACACATGGAACACTCCCAAACCCAACGAGTCACAAACTCCACAACAACTTACTAGGTTGACCAACAACCTCCCTATAACCTGCAATCTTTGTTACCGGTTGCTTATGATTTGTTGTTTAGTTCATGATTTGATTCATGATTCATGCATAGAATAGATCGATATGAATCTATGGGTGAATATATTTTGTGATAGAGTCTAATGTGAATCGGAAAAGAACAATGTGCCTATCAAAATGAGTTTATTATTATAAAGGTTCTCTCCAATATCTGAGTAGATGTATGCATGATATGCCAATTGTGTACCACAATTAATATCAAGGGTAAATTACACTAACCTTCTATGAGGATTGAGAAAAATACAGTAAAGGGTTGTTTGGAATATCCTAATTAAGTGCACTTTTTGACTTTTTGGACTAAAAAGTTGAGAAAAAAAATGTGGTTGCTTGGGATAACTTTTTGACTTTTTACGAATAAATGTGCATTAAAAAATTGTATAATTTAGTGTATAGGAGAAGGGAGAGAGAAATAGGCCGTATGCTGGGCAAAGTCGTGGCAGACTAGCATATGGGATATGCTTGCCTCCTTTTTGGGCATTGAATTGGATGGTGATGTTCGGCTTGTGGGGGCTACCACAGGTCTCGTTTTGGTAATTGAAACCGTTCAATGTGTAGAGTTCATCGAGTAATATATGTTGTAAAAATTTACGTTGATCGGATATCGATAGCTATTTGATCGGATTAGTTTTTTGTCAACCGTTAATTATAATACCATCCATTTTTTTTTATACAAAGCTGATTTGATCATGTAGTTAGCAATATCCGATCAGTGTGATTTTTTACAGGCATATAGTACTCGACAAGTTTTACACATTGAACGGTTCAGATTATCAAAACATGACCCGTGATGGGCCCCCACAGGCCGAAGAACACCGTACTTAAGCTTGCCTTTGCCTGTGTAATTTGTTCTTAGCAAAAGGCGACTCACGTCAACGTGATCTGTACCTTTTTTGTATAAAAATAATTTTTTAAATAAATTTTTTTGGTAAACTCACGTCAACGTGATCTGTACCTTTTTTGTATAAAAATAATTTTTTAAATAAATTTTTTTGGTAAATAGTGATAATTTTTTAACTTTTTTAGTAACTGTTTGTCTTTTTTATCTTTTTTCAAAGATCCCAAACCAGGCCTAAGTTTCACAGTTTTGACATAATTACACCGACTTCGTGTTTAGTAAGGTTAAATGGATTGGAACTAATGCAGATAATATGAAGACTCAAAAATAAACAAATTAAAATATATATTTTAATGTAAAAGAGATGACATCATTTTTTTCCATTCATATGATTAACAAATTATTGATAAAATTGGGGCTTAATGTTATCCTACCAAAAAACATTTATATTCTACTAACCAGTTCTAATACTCATAATAATACTTCATCTCAATTAAACACATACGCAATCCATAGTCCAATTCAAACCAGTGCCCCTTTCCTCACCGGGAACACAACGAGGGTTCAACCCTTGATCTGCGCAGTACCTTCCTAGGTTTTAACTGGAGGATGAACTTCCACATCTATCAAACTTGCCTAATTCAGACGCACACAGTCTACCAATTCATTACATGATTACTACAATAACAATTATTCTAACCCTCTTAATTAGATAGCCATAACAATTGAATCTGAATGTTCTTTTCTAATTATCATTACCATGTATAAATATTTATGTAACCCGTTACCCAGATGCATCTGTCACCCAATACTCTTCGTCAAAATATCCATACACAATTTGATAACGACTTGATCAGCAAGAAGTTCGTTTGAGTACTCTATTTGAATTGATTATACATTCAATAGATGCAAAAAGGGGTCTTGAAACCCCAAGGGGCCCTGAAACATGTCACAACATTCAGACTTGCCAGATCAAGATTAGTCATCCTATCGGTCAGCTTGACCCCTTTGTGAATTACAAAAGGTTTATGTTCCTCACATTTGGAACTTAGACTAGTTGACTGTTTAGTCGATTGTCTGGGTCATTTATTACGATTACTATTGGGTTCACATTCAATACTCAACAAACATCAGTTATGACACATTTATGGCATGATGAATCATTAACCACCATTAATGCATGAGTTTTCACAATGACGACCCAACATCACATAGATACATGCAAAAAAAATGAGATGAACCCGTACCTCTAGAAGTTCTCGGATTACAGGAAGAAGATGGTGAGGACGGTAGTGCTGGTTTGTCAAGTCCTAAGGTTTCCCTTTTACTCCAACAAGCTTATCACAAGCTTCCAGGAAGATAAAAAAATCCTAGGAAATAGAGAGGGGAGAGAATAGAGACGAACAAGAAAAGGGAAGGAAAGAGTCAGTCTGAACTCTCTCTCTCTCTCTCTCTCTCTCTCAACGTATATACATCTTGAAAATTTTAAAAATCACCGAGATATTGATTTGTGATTATGATTCAATTTTAAACAATGAATAGTAATCCTAATCAAACAATCAACAATAAATCGACACAACGATTTAATGTGAAAAAAATCACAATTGGACTCCTCTAATTGTAATAAAAAATTACAGGCCAAAGACACAAAATAATCCACTAAGAAGACAAAAAAGAATTACACATGAGAACCCTCAATTACCTAGCGAATTCACGCTTGAATTGAACCAAACCCGATGTGCCTCTTCCACCACCGTCTTTACCTCGGAATTGTTTTTCCTAATGTTGAATTTACTACGCTGATATCGAATCTATGGCGATGAGCCATTCCGGAATTCACCAAAGTTTCAGGCCCAAGTTCCCTAAAATCCATTGATAAACACCTCTCTCTTTTTGTGAATAAACGAACAAAATCAACCCTTGATATTTGCCAATATGTAGTTTGTTAATTAATTGATCACCTTCTATACATTAAGGAAACTCATATAAACACCTTAAAATATAGAACACTTTGTTTTTTCTTCCTCTCTAAGAATCTAAATGGGTTAAACTCTAAAAAGAGCAAACAATGCACTTTATACTAAATAGAACTGCGAAGACTGCTCGAGTGCTCACTTTACCTCTTGAGCGGTATGACTAAAGGTGGTAATCACATATAGGCCAACCGCTCGAGCGCAACATCTATCGCTCGAGCAGTAAAACATGTTTCCCAGAAGTTTAGAATGCAAGTAGAGATACTGGATGAACCACTTCGCTGCTCGAGCACAAGAAAGACCGCTTGAGCGGTTAATCAACTTTGACTAGGCAGCTCAATCCCTGTACTTAGTTAGCGAAGTGGAAAACAAAGAATGCTTAAGTCAAGATACGAAATGTCAGCACAACCTTTTCTACTCAGGCATAATTCGGGTTGGATTCGCATCTAAACTCTCATTACTCACAGATACAATACAGTGAATAAAAATACAACTGAATGGAGTTTTGTCCAACGGGATTGCTAATTACAAAAGCATAACACATCTAACATAAGGATGAGGTGTGCCTCATTCTCCACCCTTGAGAGTACACTAAAGTGCCAAGTGAGATTGGTGGTGGGGTAACTTGAAATTACCAAGATGCCCTCAATTCAAATCTCTGCACAAAGTCCCTCCATATTTTCTGTTACACTATACAGAATTTTGGGATCCAAACACTAGATTAAATTACACTATTCTTTGGAATTAGTCAAAGTAGTGAAATTAAATAAAACCATTATCATTAAACTGGGTTCGCAATAGTCTGGTCCTTACATGTTCATTAATCACTACATTTTGATTCTCTTGAGGGCATATTGTACTTACATATCTCAGATTCAGGGATTCTTGCACGTGGTGAATATTCAAATCGCAGTGTAAACAAAATACTGATTTTTTTATTTAAAATTTTTTATTTTTTTAGACACTTTCATCTTAGAAGAGACTCAATAAAATCAAAAATTTAGTTTTATTCACTTATTTATTTATTTTGTTGGCAGTACTTACAGTTTATAGGGTAATGGCAATACTTACGGTTTAGTGGTCTCAGTAGGTTTGAAGTTTCAGTTCCAGATGTGATTTGTTGCTTTTATTAGCATATCCACTTCAACTTTCCCTTTTGCTAGATTTGAATTTCTATATTTGATGATTACGTATCCATCTTTTTGGGTTGATGCATGAAATCATGATTCCTTGTCTAGCATTGTATTCATGTTTTTGTTAGTGCTTCACTGATCTGGCATGCTGCCAAATTTATTTCTGCAATGGTCATTAGTGGTCGTTATGAGTTACTTTCTTTTAGTTGGATCTCTGTGATTAAGTTGAGGTCTAATTGTAAGGTTGCACAATTATCTAGATTCCTAGTGGTGTTTTGATTTCAGGTTGGCATATATGTAGTCGCTGTCAGAAGGCTGCCCATTACATGTGCTACACTTGTACATATTCATTGTGCAAGGCATGCACTAAAGGTGCTGATTACTTGTGTGTACGAGAGAACAAAGGCTTTTGCACAACATGCATGAGAACTATTATGCTGATTGAAAATAATGATCAAGGAAACAAGGAAGCGGTAGGTGTAATTCATCCCTCTTTCTATTAATTTTCATGTAATTGTTTCTGCAAAATGTTGGTTAGAGTTCATCATTTGGCTGAACTCAAGCTTAACTCAGGTTTTCTCCATTTTCATGATTTCTCTCTCATGTTCTAGATTTGGCGCAGTCAGGTTCAGCTTTGACTGCTGTTTTTTGCCAAAAAACTTAAGTGGGTGGTCAAACTGCCTGAATTGCCAACTGCTATTGCGATTTTAAGGCCCCCTTGTTGGTCGTTTTGTCAAATTACTGTCTGCCTCAAACTTGTTGGCCTTTTTGTTTGCAGCTCTTGTCTCGGTTCTGCAATTTATAACCTTTGTGTATAATTTGGACAGGCTCAAGTAGATTTTGATGACAAGAGTAGCTGGGAGTATCTTTTCAAGGTATACTGGATTTACTTGAAGGAAAAGCTATCTTTAACTTTAGATGAGCTTACCCATGCTCGAAATCCGTGGAAAGCAGTTGCTTCTGTGGCTCGTAAGGGGCAATCTTTGGATGTACATTATGGTGGTAATGATGACAAAGGTTCTATGGCAGTCATCCCTTCTGGACATCTGGAGGCAAATAATTCTAACAGGACAAAAGAACAGCCAAAGTTACCCAACAAGGGCGACTCTCGAAGCATGGACAAAACAATTAGTGACAGTGGAAATACTTCTGTAGGATCCACAAAGTGGGCATCCGAAGAACTCTTGGAGTTTGTTGCACACATGAGGAATGGTGATACATCTGTATTATCTCAGTTTGAGGTACAGGGCCTTTTGTTAGACTATATAAAGACAAACAATCTTCGTGATCCCAATCAGAAAAGTCAAATCATTTGTGATTTGAGGATTGGAATTCTGTTTGGAAAACCACATGTGGATCACACTGAAATGTTGAAGCTTCTTGAATCTCACTTCCTTACAAAAGAGGATTCCCAGAAAGTAGTAATTCGAGGCAATGTTGTTGATTCTGTTGTAAGCCAGGTTGAGGGTGATGGGAACAATGATAACCTACTGATCATGGGTAAAGATACGAAAAGTAAAACTCGCAGAAAAGGTGAAGAGAGTGGACCACAAACAAATCTAGATGAATATGCTGCGATTGATGTTCACAACATTAACTTGATCTATTTGCGGCGTGATTTGATGGAAAGTCTAATAGTGGATAATGGAAAGTTCCATGATAAGGTTGTTGGCTCAATTGTGCGAATAAGAATTTTCAGTAGTGATCAGAAGCAAGATGTGTATAGGCTTGTCCAAGTAGTAGGTATGCATGCATAACCTATTTTTAACTAGTCTTTAACCACGTGAAAAATTACACCGATACTTTAAAATGTTGATGTTTTGCTTTCAGGTACGCGTAAGGTGGCACCATATAAAATAGGTGAAAGGACAGCAGATGCAACGCTTGAAATATTAAATTTGGACAAGAAAGAGACCATATCGATTGATGCAATTTCCAATCAAGAGTTCTCTGAGGTGATTAAGCGTCCTACTTTGATCTCATATTCCTTCTTCCCTAGTGTCATATTTTGTTGGTTCTCAAGAATAATTAAATAAAAAGTCCTTGTCATTTTGATGTTTTATTTTTCTCTTGAGAATGCATAAAGAAAAGTAAATTTTTTATTTTTATTTTTATTTGTATTTTGTTTTTTTTTCCAGCTCATAATATGCAGAGTTCCATATGATTGCTTTTACTATTAGGAGAGCCTTGATGATTGTCATTATGCATACCTTAATTGCTTCAAGCTAAACAAAAACAAGCATTTAGTGCTTGCTATGCTATGTAGAGCCCCCCTAGGTTTCTAGGGCTTCAATTGCAAAGCGTGGTGATGAAGGCTTCTGTGGCAATTAATCATTACAGCAGGTCTCACACTTTCTATGCAGAAAGTGGCATGAAACACTCATTTCTATCGTCGTGATTTTATGAGTTGAATTCTTGTGTTAGGCTTACACACAGCCATACCATCTCGGACAACTCTGTCTTACTTTTGTGCTTCAGTAGCTTCCCAAAAATGTTTCCTGATCTACTTTTCTCACATTGAATCCCATCCATCTCAAAATCCTCATTATAGATATGCTGATTTTTCATATATTTGCTTCCTTTTGTCCTTTGTTTTAGGATAGGATGTCTGTTTTGTTTCTTGGCAGCCCAGCATAATGTTCTATGGATACTGCTGGGATAAATTTGTCTCATACAACAACTTTCACTAACAGGATTCCATTATCACGCAACAATCTGGAAGCACTTTTCTGCTTCATCTGTCTACTTTATTTGCGTGGCAATATCCTCTCCTCTCCATTTGTCCTAAACTATGGATAATCAAGCCCAGTCTTCAGATCCAAAAGGATCACTTCTAGTGGTGGATGTGTGAAGGGACCAAGAGGGGCGCATTCCCCTCAATTTTTTATAATTACACTAGTACCCATATATTTGCAAAGTATTTTTTGTTTAATAGCCTGAGATTGTGCACACCCTAAATCATTTAAAATCCCTTAATGTTTTAAAAGGTCCCATTTGGTGCAGCTTCATGTACTTGATTTGTAGGGAGGATTCATAAAATGGATTTTCAAGAGAGGGCGAATGTTTGGTGAATATTATTTTTGAAAGTCCTTTGAAATCCAGAAGTGCTTTCATATTGGAAGAAGTTCCAAACATTGATTTTCTCCTATTAATTTGTTTTTCAGAGAGATGCTCTGTATATAAGAGGTAGTGAAGGAAAAAAGAAGAAGCTGTAGAACACTCTCATTTTTGCTCTCTTAAAATGCAAACTGATATGTTTTGCAAAGTATTTTTTGTTTAATAGCCTGAGATTGTGCACACCCTAAATCATTTAAAATCCCTTAATGTTTTAAAAGGTCCCATTTGGTGCAGCTTCATGTACTTGATTTGTAGGGAGGATTCATAAAATGGATTTTCAAGAGAGGGCAAATGTTTGGTGAATATTATTTTTGAAAGTCCTTTGAAATCCAGAAGTGCTTTCATATTGGAAGAAGTTCCAAACATTGATTTTCTCCTATTAATTTGTTTTTCAGAGAGATGCTCTGTATATAAGAGGTAGTGAAGGAAAAAAGAAGAAGCTGTAGAACACTCTCATTTTTGCTCTCTTAAAATGCAAACTGATATGTTTTTCTCCTCTAAAACAAGAAAATCTAGGATCTCTCTCTCTCTAACACATGAGAACCTGGAAAACAATTTGGTTGAGTTTTCAGAACTTAATTAAAAACTAGTTTGACAAAAAGAAACCCTGAAAAGGTATTTTGAATTTTTAAAAATTATTGTTCTTAATTTTAAAAAATTATTTTTTCCCCCCAAAAGAGAACCATTTGAGAATAATGAGTGCTTTTGATGTTTTCATTTTTTTCACCAAACTAGTTTTTAAAATTTTTCAGAAAAAGATTTAGAAAACTCAGCCAAACATAGAACAGTTTCTCTCTCTACAACCAACCAATCAAAAACATTTTTCATTTGTTTGGAACTAATTAAGGCTCAAAACTTCACCATCATATGATTCTTTTATATATGTGTGGAGACTGAGATAACATGCGTATACATAAGAGAGCAACTCTCCAGATTATAGGTTAGGCTATGTTGTAAAACATGGAGGCAAAGAAGATGTAGACGTTACAACAGGAGTTTCAAGTAAGCTCGGTTTGTAAATGTTATAATATAAACATTATTTGAGTTTCAAGACATTCACTTAACTGCATGTTGTACTTCGTGAGAAGTCAATCTATCAGGCATTTGAGAAGCCGGTTTGGGTAGCTCCTGTCAGATGGACTTTGCAGTCCAGCACTTTTTGTGGAATGACTTATTGTTATCTCTACCAAACAATAAATTTTTTTGTAGGACTTCCTTGGTTAGGAAGGACTTTGAAAGGTACCCCCAAATGGTTACCAAAGGATCTTCTTATTTTTCTATCAATCACATAAGAACTCTGAATACAAAATTTCCCATCTCTTCTTAATGTTCTCTCTATTTTCTGTCTTTGCAAAGTTAATTTTTCTCTTCTAGCACTTCCGTTTTAGTTTTTCTTAAAGGCCCTTTTTATTGGGCAAATTACACATGTAGTCCCTCTCAATTTGATCCTATAATTTCAATTGCAGCAAATTTTTCCATTTTTTTTTCACATTATGCCAATTTAATCCAATTGGTAATGTCCATTAATAAATTGAATGGAAATCAAGGAAAAAATGGTTCATTCATTCTCCTTAGAGTGATTGAGGGGTTGACATACAATTTGGAATGTTCTATTAAGTTTTGAATGAACCATTTTACTCTTGATTTCAATCTAATTTTTAAAGGGGCGTTGGCAATTTTACTAAATTGACAGCATGTAAAAGTTCAAGGGTTAAATTGATGCACTTGGAAAATGACACGAGACAAACCATGGGTGTACTTTCCTTTCTTATTTTTGCAAAGTATTTTTATTTTTTTTATTTTTGAAATGAAAATATTTATGTTTTGAGCTTAATTTTAACTCAAAAAGTTATTGTTGCCGATTATGGGATTTTTTTTTGAGTTTGTGATTAACAAGTGCCCTGCTTAGAATAATTTCTTGGCTCCATCACTGATCACTTCATGTGTATCTTTGGATTTTCAATTTCACATATTTTGTTTGGAAAGGAATGATATTACTCTTTAGGAATGACATGGATGCATTGCTGGGAAATTAAACAAATTATCATTATAAAAAAACAAAGTGACACCAAGATAGATATTGGTTGTAAGATTTTTTTACCTATAAAGCTTTCTTCATGTACGCCAGAAAGTGGCTTGAGTGTATTACAAGAAACTTCAGATGTTCTTTTTCCCTTCAGATATAAATTGGAAAGGATGACTCAATTACATACATGAAATCTGAACATGGAACATGAGCTACTACTAGGTCCATGTAATCCCAAAGTTACAATCTCAATGATGGTCAGAAACAATACCTTTATAATTTTACTGTTATGACGGACTGCTGAATCATGTAATATATCTCTAGCAATGTTTTTTGCATTATGAATTGGGGATATGATAAAACACTCTTTATCTTGAGTGCTGTGATGTTACTCATAATTGTTTGGTGTTCTGGACTGTCTGTTCTAGTGTAGCAATTTGGAATGTTGTTAAATTACATATACAGCTCTGTTCACGTTATGCATGAATAGTTTGTTTTTGTCACTTGATTTTGTACTCTATTTTGATGTATTTTTCTTTTTCCAGGATGAATTTCCACCATCTTGTCCTTGAGTGGAATGGTAGTTTATTTTGTTCTGCTTGCCTTGCCACTTATCCACTTTCATTGAGGATTACGTCAAAGTATAAAATGTGGGCTTGTTAAACAGTTTACTGTAGTAAGTGTGCATCTTAATATACTTAAACAAACCAAAAAATACATCTCATCTTTGTGTTACTTTTACATGTTCTTTTTTCTAAGGATATCGATGCCTGGTTGTAGGGCCAGGTGCAGGAGAAAGCAATGGCACTTCAGGAAGTGAGACTCAATGATGTAAGTTTTTTTAGCTTTCAATTGTAATGCACAGGCATGTCATTATTTGATGTTAACCACTTTTTATCTCTGTTCTTTGTGGCAGCTTTGTATGATCTATCTATCATCATCATGTATGTAAATTGAGATGTTTGATTCTGAACTTTTTTTTTGTTGCTCTCTCTTGTTTTATTTAAATAGTACCTGGAAACAGAGGTAATGCGGCTCAGTCATCTTCGGGATCAAGCAAGTGAAAAGGGGCATAAAAATGAATATCCTTTTTTTCATGGCGTGTATTTTGAACTGTCATATTGTAGTACCTTGTATCACAGTAGAAAGATTATCACGTGCAATTGAACAATCATGTTAATCAGATCCACTCTTTGTTTCGGATGTGATAAAATGGAAATTAGAAGAACCAGATGAAAAACCACAGTGAGGACCCCCCCCCCCCAAAAAAAAAAAAAAAAAAAAAACAAAATTTTCATATTCATTTTTTTGTTCTTTTGGAAACAAAAACAATAAGAAATTCAAAAACATCACTGTTTTCATTTTCCTATGGAAAGAGTTTTTAAAATTTCAGAAAATAATTTTAGTTTCTTTTTTTTTTTTTAAAAATGGGGTGTTTTTAGAAAAAATATTTCCTGAACTAATTTTTGGATATAGTTTACCAAATGACTTTTTGGTTTTTCTGTTTTCGAGAACAGAAGAGTGGAGTAATGCACTAGGATTTGAAGAAGTCATGGAAACTTTATTTCCGTTGAAGTTTGAAGATTGCACTGCTAGGCACTGCTAGTGTTGTTTTTTATTCTATGGCTGTGGGGAAAGTGCACTAGGATTTGAAGGAAATCACGACTCGTGGTTGAAATTTTTTGTAGAAAGAAGACAATGGTGCCCAACCCTTTGCTATCTCTAGTTCTTCTCTAGTTTTGAAAATAGTACCTTTGCCCAACCTGAATTCATCATGTCTGAAATTAGGTTGAGAACCCAGCCTGAGTCCAAATTGACATGGGTGTACCTAATCTGGCGACTGACATGCAAAACAATTTTTTAGTAACTTATGTATAAAATGTTATTCAAAAAAAATTGAAAGAAATCTTCAAATAGCAAATATTTAATGGTTAACTAGTGAGTGCTAATCAAGTTGAGAATGTGTTGGTCACCTCAGATGACTATCACACTGAGAGGACCTGTTTATAATTGGATTAGTTGGACTTTTTCTGCTGAGAAGAAATTTAATATGAACCATCCCTCTCTGCTGCCTTGTGTTCTTACTATACTAGTAATTTCATGGCTCTGTACCTTGAAGTGCTCCAGGGTATGCTGCATTAGATATTCAACTAATCTTCACTTTGTACTTGAGCAATTTTTTGAGGTGAAATAGGAAGCCCTTGTTTTAGTCCATAAGTTAGGGTGTGCCTTCCTTTGAAAAATGAGTTCAAACATTTAATTTTTTTCTCTCATTCTTTTTAATTAAATGAAGCATGTTGTTTCAGCTTGTGTAGTCAGTTAGCAACTTAGCATACCTTCCCGTAAAAATTGAGTGTTCAGTTGCAATGTCTTTCCCTGGTACTTTTTAATTTAAAAGGAAACATTTCTTGGTTTCTGCTTTGCTGTGCTAGCTAACAACCCTCTTACAATTGCACAAACAAATCAAGTTTCTGGACTTCCACCATCTTGTCCTTGAGTGGAATGGTAGTTTATTTTGTTCTGCTTGCCTTGCCACTTATCCACTTTCATTAAGCTATTGCCATCATGCTTGCTCTGTGGCTTTCTATGTTACATGAATAGTGGTGTGTGATTTGGGTCTATATCTAGAGGTCGGGCCCATCAAGCCTACAATTGAAGGATATGTAGACTTGGCAAAAACAGATCATATTTTATACTTTTAATCAATTTTATGGGAAAAAATGGTTTTTGTGTAGCATAATGTGATAAAAAAGACATTTTAGAGTAATTGTGCTACAAAAATAATGACAGTGTTGAGTACAATTATATAACGAAATTGAATTTATGGATTTGCCATCTGATGGGAAGTGTTGGCAACATGGGTGCTTGATTTATTTTGAAGAGTCCATTTAACATAGATGCCTTTCTTGACTTTCCAAATATTTTTATTTGTATGATACCCTAGAAATTGTTAGGGAAAGAAAGAAAGCTTTGGGAATACCCAACTTCCATTCCATCCACCAAATAACTTTCCAGGCTTTCATTTATTTTCTTTATATCATCATGAAATCAGAGGATCAAATGAAATATATATGCTGTTATACTGAAAATGGTTCAGATGGTTTACAATTCTTGACCATTCCATCCACTATATTTGCTGCATTGTGAAGGATATTGGCTCTTTTCTTTTTCCTGGATAGGAGAAAAGAAAATTTCGTATAATGTTTATTATCCTTGACAAATTCACGCTTAGAGAATGTGTAGAGAAAATAGAGCTTCTGATGTCACCTGAGGAACGTCAGCGCAGGCTAAATGAGATTCCTGAGGTGCATGCAGATCCAAATTGTGAATCTGATGAAGATGCTGGAGTACATAACAATAAGAAACAAGGTCTTGCATTTGCTTACTGGATACGGAACTTTCCCTTTCCAATCATTTGTTTCATTTTCTTGCCTTCTTTTAAATATCTATACCTAAAGTTACTTTTGCTGCTGATATCTACAGATGAAGATGAGAAACCAAGATATTTTGAGGGAAAAGATGCGTGCGGATCAAATACTGTGGAGAAACCAGGAAACCAAGTTGATTCATCTGGCTCAGTTGTTGGCGGTTGGAACAATCAAGCTGGGCTGAGGTCTGGATCTTTTTCTGGGGTTGCATCAGAAACTTCAGCTGCATCTCTCTCTACTGGGAGTGCACCATCTGCAAATGATAGTGAAACGGACAGATTGTGGTACTACCGGGACCCACATGGAAACATTCAAGGACCATTTTGTATGGTGCAGCTGCGTAAGTGGAGTACAACTGGATTGTTCCCTCCTGATATGAAAATATGGGGTATAAATGATGAAGAAGGTGACTCTTTACTCCTGACTGATGTATTAAATGGGCAGTTCCGTAAAGTGTCGCCACTGCGATACATCTCTTTACCATCTCAGGAAGTTAAAGGTGCCTCTGATAGTAGTTTATATTATGGTAACAATGAATTTGTGAAGAGTGTTAATAACAATAATGTACAGACCGGAAGTTCTTTCCAATCTGGGGGTTCAGTGGAGGTTAAAAATTCTTACTCTGACCAGCTCCAAGTGCATTGTCCAGTACCGTCATCTGCATTTACTGAGCAGCCACATGAAACTTCTCTGCATCAAGCAAGGGGTCATGAGAGCCAAAGATGGAACTTGGATCCAAATCTTGGAAATTGGAGTTCACATGGAAATGCTACTGGTGGACAGAGTCATGAGAACCAATCTAATTGTCACGGCTATTCTGGCCAATCATCTGGACAAAGTTCGAGGCCTCTACCTGTAAACTATTCTTCATATGACGGGGATTCTTCCTCTGGTTTTGCTTCTGTAGCCAGGACAATTACATTAGAAAGAATTTTTGGAATTGATATCCTAAATCGGCCTAGTCCAACGCCAAATGTTAGCGATGGGGACTTGGAAGGTCAGACTACTAAAGAACAGCAGTTGGAGCCATCTAATGTTCCTGTTAAAGATTCATATATCCAAAATCAGCCAAGTCTCACACTCAAGCTGAGTGATGGGGATGAGAAAGTTGACTCTAATAACCAAAATATTCCAAATCCGCTACCAAAGCCAGCTGATGAGGATGAGAAAGCTCGAGCTACTGAAAACAAGCAGTCCGTGTCCTCAAATTTTCCTGTTCAAGATTCTAACCATAGTTGGAGCAGTGCTTCCAGCCTAGTGGTGGGTGGTAGGACCCGAGTTCCTAATGTAGCTGATGAATGGGGTCGTGCAAAACGTTCTGCTGAGGATTGGGATTCGGGTCTTGTGTCCGTATCTTCATTGAAACCACGTGAAGTGCCCAGTGATCATGCTGCCACTCCAACTTCCAGGTGTGATGACCTCACTCCTCCATTTAATGCACCGAGTTGGCAGGCACTTGTTACCGAACCCATTGAGTTTAGCACTTTGGCTGAGGAATCAGTGTCAGATCTGTTAGCTGAAGTCGACGCAATGGAGTCTCAATGCGGCCTGGCTTCCCCGACTTCAGTCACAAACAGTGGTGAGGAATTGTTTCAGGATTCTAAAATCGATTGTTTTACTTCTCTTAGGGGGTTGAGCCCCCCTCCACTTGATTCAGGAAAAAGTGATGCTTTGAGCTCCACAGGGGATATAAAGTTACCTCCTCCACCTGCAATGACAGGCGGGCAATTCCGAGCATCTCATTCTAATGTCCTTGATCCTGTAAAGAGGTCTGGTGTGAAAACGTCTACAATTACTAAATTGGAGGTGGAAACAAAGCCCAATGATGTTCCAGTTAAGCAATCGAAGACCATGAGACTCGACATGATTGATACAGACACTGCTCGTAGATCAGGAGTGAAACCGACCGACGCTGGTGTGAATTCAGGTTGGGGAGGATCCACCCAAGGAACTACAAATACGGCAAGGGGAACCGGTCAGGGAACGGCTCGGGGAAATACAAACTCAAACCGGAGTCCTTCAGCTGGATACACGGGGCGGGAGAGCCATTCTAAACATAGCGGGGAGAGATTTAGCCCTAGAGACCGGGCTTTTCACAGTGGCGATTCAGGATTTGGTAAGGGAAGGCCGTCATGGAGTAGGCAGTCATATGGAAGCGGCGGCAGCAGTGGTGGCGGCGGCAGTGGAAGTTACTCAAGGCCTCCTCCCAAAGGGCAGCGGGTTTGTAAATTTTACGAAAGTGGGCGGTGCAAGAAGGGAGCATTTTGCGACTACCTGCACCCATGATGATGGGGTTCAGGCAAGGAATTTGGTGCAATTGAAATTAATGTACAATAATTTTTTTTAGAAGTTTCATTTAAAAATATTGCTAATGTTGTAATGTTAACTGAAATTTATGTCACCAGTTCTAAAATGTGTATTACAATTTCTCTTTTTTCTTCAACGTAGCTTTTGGCTGTTTTGTAGAACATATTATGGAGTGGATTCAACTGATGTAGTCCAAATATTATTTTTTTGGAAGCAGCTTCATCTACATGTTGCTAATGTTGTAATGCCACAGAATACATAATACAATTTTATTTTTATTTTTTAAAATTTTCCTTCAAGTAGCTTGGCTTCCAATGACAAATGTAAACACCTAAAATCTTTGTCTACAGATTATTTTATGAAAACGTAGATGAAAAATTAACAATGTTCCTAAACAAAATGATGATACACACTATTTTTTAGATACAACAATGTTACATAACTCATAAAATTTGCTTAAGAGTTTTATTCCAAAAATCAACATGTGGTCTAAATTTAATCCATGCGTAAAAATTACCATACAACAAATAAATCTACACCAGTCTTTTTCATGGTAAAAAACCTGGTTACATAAAATTTATTCTTTTTAGATAAGATAAAAAGTATTATAGTCTCAGAATATTAATGTTATTGAATAGTACAAATTTAATTTTGTATAATAGAATCCACTATTAAAATTTAGGGTTAGGGTTAGGCTTCTTTTAAATTGTCATATTAAAGCGTTTAGATTTGATAGACTCATTTTGAAACCGATTCCAGTAATTTAAACTATTAACTTTTTGGAACCATTCAATATTTTTTCTTAGTATTTTTTTGGGAGTTCTTAAGAGTTCCCGTTTGGAGATAGACTATTTTAATCTAATTATTAAAAAGTCACTGCAAATTGTTATATCACTCTATTTATTTTTTTACATATATATATATATATATATATTTTTTTTTTATAAAAATTTAAAAAACCAATTAAAACAACTAACTCTCAAATCATCCTAAGTTTTGTATATATGTAATAGACATGGATGTAGCAGTCCTTCACACACGAGCAATAATAATAACTATATATTATTATCATAATTTTGTTTATTATATAATATAAATATATCGCTACTTTAAATTAATATATTATTATTCATAATAGCAAATATGAATAATAAGACTTATTTATTTATTTATTTATTTATTTTTTTGAGAACGATGAATAATAAGATTCATTAAATTAATAAAAGTGTGTCCCTGTTTAAAAAAAAAAAAGAAAAAAAGAAAAGAAAAAGTGACGCATTGTATAACTTTTGAAATTAATTAATGTAGAGGTAGTGCAATAATATCTGTTTCGTTGAGAAAAAAAATTACTTGCATGCAATATCTGTTGGCGTGGTTGGCTTGGTCGTGAATGAGGTGATTAATCAAATGGAAGAATTTCAATTGAGAGTTGTCTAGAATTTCCATTCAGAATCCACAAATTCATCATCATGCAATTGAGAGTTGTCTAGAATTTCCATTCAGAATCCACATAATTCATCATCAGCTGATTAAAATCGAGAGATCAAATTCCAATCCAATGGCGTCGATGTTATCGCAGACGCAGAGGTACGCCGCCGGAGGTCTGTTCGGGCTGGCCCTCCACCAGGCTCAGATCCACCAGACCCGCCCATTCCCCTCCTCCTCCGCCGCCGATCGCATCGGCATCGGCATCGGCATCAGCAGCAGCGACTCTGCCCCCGAGGAACCCCAGCTTTGGGTCCACGAGTCTTCCGGCCTTCTCCGCCCTGTATTCAGGTCATTACATTTCTATATACTTGTTACCTACCTTGTTTGGTTTCTGAGAAAATATCCGACAAACTGAAACTTGGAATCTTAGGCGCTTGTTTGTTTCGTAACACTTACTAATTTATTTATTTTAATTTTTTACAAATTTTTTCTAAAATTCCTTTGGTGTCTATTCAACCACACACTGCTCATTACCACACCGTTACCATCGACCTTCTTTGGCAACCATCTTTGGATTACCTTGCCACCAGCTCTTGTCGAAAACCACCTTCTACCACCATCTTACGTTACCACCTCTGATCACCACCTTTGGTTGGAAACAGGGGAACGCCATGTGCTACTCTAGACTGTGAATAATTACCCTAACTGTTTTGTTTGTACTCTAATACATCTATTTATCTTAGTATAGTTGACTCTGGAAATTATAACTGCATCAACTAAAATGTGAAATTCTTTTCTTGTAATCGAAACACTAAAAACAATAGTGATATTTTCAGTAATTGTTCATTTTATCAATTTTGTCACAAACAGGTTCTTGGAGATAGATAATAAGGCGTGGTCCAGGCTTGAGGAAACTGTTGGGTCTTCTCCTGCTAAGCATCATATTGGAGAGGTATGTTTTTTATTTATTTTTTCTCTTTTTAAATGACAATTTTAGTAAAAAATGAGGCATTGTCCTACGTCTTTCATTGTTTTCATGTTCAGTGGAGAACACATTCTTGGACAAAATCATCACTAACATCATATATACGTGCATTCATGGTGTGGGCACTGGGCAGCCTTGGTTGCTTATTTTAGCTTCCAGTATCTTTCATACCATTAGTATTGGAATGTTCACTTTTGAATTTCAAGAGTTCAAAGTTAGAAACAAAATGTTATTGTTTCACATTATTTTTGGCAAATTGTGGTGGGTTTCTTAATTTCTGATTTGTATTTTTTTTTTTTTAAATGTGTGAAATTTTTTAAAAAACAATGCACATTGGGAGCGATACTCGCTCCTGATCAACCAACCAAATGCATGTTTATATGGGCATTCTTCAGTAACATGGCCTAACAAAAAGCTTCAACTTGTGATCATTGATTATCCAATGCAATGGTCACTTACTGTATCTATATCTATGCATGATGTCAAAGCTATGACTTCTAATTCAGTGATTATTACAGGTTTCTTGTTGAGTTTTGATTTATGTCATGCCATACCAAGTCAGATTCGTACATGTTGGCCAGTTAGATGTGGTGTGATCTGATGGTGTGACATAGAACTGCCAAGTAAACAAGTTTTTCAACCTTTAGAAATGTCAAAGTGCAATATATAGTTTCAAAATGAAATATTTTGATATTGCATTCATTAATAGTAATGCCCATTCATGCTACTGTAACCACTATAATGTAAGTAACTGTTAGAATTTACCTACACCTACCACCACCAATTTACCCTCACCTACTCCTCACCTACTACCCAAACCCTCTCCTATATAATGAGCTACTCTGATTTGTAATATATCACATCAATCTTGTAACAACATCAATTCCCCAGAGAAGCAGGGCTCAGAATACTTTACTTCCAGTCTTTTTTTGTAGAAGACAATTATTGTCATTTTAATAACTGCAAATAAAATTTGATGTTCTTTCGCAGACACTTCCGCACCCATGCTGCTGTATTTTATTCATCCTACTTTTTTTTTTTTTCTTTTTCTAAGCATTATTGTTCATTTTATCACAGTTCTTGAAATTACTCTCAGAAGAAAGCTGCAACACCTCAGAAATAATGGGTAAGGATACCTCCTCAGAAATGAAGTATAAGGATCCAAAAGAAATGAAGGAAAAGGAACTTGCCTTGTCGAAAGCTATTGATGTCATGGCACAAACCATGGAAACAATTCCTCCTGATTGTGAGTCTGAGATGGAAAAGCATTGTAAGTATGAAAATGATCATCAGCAGAAATGTTCTATTGACAGGCAATCAAAATCTGAAGTGCCAAAAATGGACCTTGGAACTCCAGAGGAGACCAATCATAATATGATTAGCATTGAAAAGGCAACTAATCAGTCTGACAGTCATATGGATGAAAAACCTTTAGAGGAGGTAATGATACTTAGTTATCATAGGAAAGTGACAGTTCTGTATGAACTTCTTTCAGCTTGTCTGTCAGATATACCTGAAGGTAACAAATATTCTAAACAACGAAGAAAGGGCTATGATGCTCGACATCGCGTAGCTCTGCGGTTGCTGACAACCTGGTTTGACATCGAGTGGAATAAAATGGTTCGTTACCCATGTACTCAATATTATTAATTAGATGCCAATTATATTCTAGAGATGCATTTTTTATTGTTTTTCTCTAATATGCTATCGTAGCATGACTAACAATACAACTTGGTGTAGATCCAATAATATGGCAGAATTCTTGTTACTGTCTAATATCTATGGGATATGATGGTTCTGTATTGAAAGATTCTGATTGTAAAATCATAATTTTGGAGAAGTCTAATTATAAATTTTACAAGACTGAAGGGGGAGATGAAACAGTTTGTTGCATTGCAAATCACTAATAAGCTATGCTCCCTTATATTTTTGATAGCTAGGATCTTATAGGAGATCTAATGGAAAATTCTAGCTTGGTTGCACACCCTTGTGAACGAGAGGAAGGATTGAATTAGCTCTTCAACATGAAGCATGAAACATTGTGGACAACTTTTTGTACCACTGCAAGTTCTTATTCAACTTTATGATATTGATTCTGTCATGCACTCCATCGCAATATTGTACTTGGGAATGATGGAGAGACAGTGTAGAAGCATCTGCTTATGATCTTTTAGAAGGTTATAGCAAGTTAAGGCTATCATAAAGCACTTCTATTAATTTTATTTTTTTTCATTTCTCCCATTTAACTTTATGACACTGTTAATATTTTATTTCCTTCCAAGTCACCCAACAGGAACTGAAACTGTATGGATTTTGTTACTTTCCCCCCCTTATTTCCTTTCTCATTAAAGGTTTCCACTCATCCTTGTTGGAAGCTTGATATATATTGTTGGGTCCATTTCCTAACATCTTAATCTTTTGGGGCAATTAGGTGAATTTTAACAATAATTTATTTCCTTCCAAGTCACCCAACAGGAACTGAAACTGTATGGATTTTGTTACTTTCCCCCCCTTATTTCCTTTCTCATTAAAGGTTTCCACTCATCCTTGTTGGAAGCTTGATATATATTGTTGGGTCCATTTCCTAACATCTTAATCTTTTGGGGCAATTGATGAATCAACAATTTTGAATGAGGAGAGTGATTGGTCCCCTAAACTCCAATAGGAATGTGTATAATATGAAGGTTGTGGTTTCGTTTCTCTTTTCTTTTTCCTTTTTTTGGGTAGGGAGTGGGGAAGGCAGGCTGAGATTAAGACTTGTACTAATAACTTCCCAGATTGTCTCACTATATATCACTGAGACTACATCAAGTTGGTGTATAGACTGCATTAGGAATTGAAATGGGTGGACCCAGCCAAAATGCTTGCAAGCGTTTGTGAAATCAAACTTCTTTCTTCTTCTTCTTCTTCTTCTTCCTTTTTTTTTTTTTTTTTTAAAAAAAAAGAGCGAAATCTATTTTATTTTTTCAGACTTTAGATTTTTACCCTCGCTAAAGAGAAAATTTCTGTTTGTAGGAAGCCATGGAGATTATGATTGCTTGCTCGGCAATGGCTTTAGCAAAAGGGGAACAATCAAAAGAAGGAGATACCCAATCACCAGACAGCTCTTGGGACAAGTGGAAACGTGGAGGTATAATAGGTGCAGCTGCATTAACTGGAGGAACCTTAATGGCAATTACTGGCGGTATGGCATCGTTAGCTTAGGCTTTTGAACATTTGAAATGCCATTGGCCAACAAGCTTCTAATGACATGAGTGTTTTTTTCCTTTGAATTCATATTTTATTGGCAATAGGGTTAGCTGCTCCAGCTATTGCCGCGGGTTTAGGTGCCTTAGCACCTACATTGGGCACCCTCGTCCCTGTGATAGGAGCAAGCGGGTTCGCTGCAGCTGCAACTGCTGCAGGAACTGTTGCCGGTTCGGTTGCAGTGGCTGCATCATTTGGAGGTGAATTACATAACTGCGAATATTGTTTTGATTTTCTAGAATCCCTCATAGAAAGAGTATATTTTTGTTGGTTTGGAAAAATGCTTAAAAATCTCAAATAATTGTGGTGGTATTCACCTATACAACATTTGAATGAAATACCAAACAATCTGAAAGCTTGACGGAGATCTTGAATCTGGGTTTGTATGCCTTGTGTATGACTTCTATTTTACTTTTAATTAAAATATCACACTTTATTAATTAATGAAATGTGGAAAAGGGTGTCTGCTTGTGTAGCATTTGCTTCTGTCCTAAATTTAAATTAATTTATGGAGTGTGCGCTTACTGGGGGATATGTTTTCATGCCTTATGATCTTCAATACAACATTAGCCTTTGTGCTGACATTTGATCAAACCAGCCGCTGGAGCTGGACTTACTGGGTGTAAAATGGCTAGGAGAACTGGAAGCGTTGATGAATTTGAGTTCAAAGCTATTGGGGAAAATCACAACCAAGGCGTGAGTTTTTTAGCTTCCATTTTCCAAGTTAGAGGTCTTACAAATCTTCTAAATTTTCCTATGATTCACTACCTGAATTTATTTACTTCGTAGTCTATGTGAGTATCCAGATGGGTAAAGAAATGTAATTTTTTGTTTTCCTTTTTTCCATTTCTCATACAAAAATGTTTCTCTTTGAATAAATGCCGATTCAACATTCTGCTCTCATTAAAAGTTCTCTTGTCAGCGGCTCGCAGTTGAGATCTTGGTATCGGGACTTGTTTTTGAGGAGGAAGATTTTATCAAGCCCTGGGAAGGACAACATGATAACTTGGAAAGGTAAACCACTGATTTTCCATGTTCGTTAACGTTGGAAACTCTTGGTGATCTATTGTTGTACATATCTCAGTCCTGCTAGATGTAGTTTGGCTCTGTTACTTTGAGAAATTAACAATGGTAACCAGAATGTAACCTTTTTCTGGCATTTTCTTCATTCTTTTCTTTTAATTGCCTATGCTTGGTTAATTTGAATCTTCTCTAATTTTTATTAGTGGTTTGTGCTTGTCATGAATGGTTACATAATCTGAGTAATTGTTATTTTATTCGAGTAATGTTTCTTAAGCAGCCTCTTAAAACCCCACCACATATAGAGGATTGTCCTGGATTTCAAAGGAGCTACTTTCAAAGCTACGGCATGGTTTAATATGGGCTGGGTGCCCATGGTCTAGTTGGTTAAGTGCGGGCAGGAGTAGTGTTTAGCTGAAGGCTGCAAGCCATTTTCTTGCTTGGAGATTGTTATATCATGTATAATCTAGAATTGCTTGGTTTCATGAAGTTGTAGATTTTATATTTCCCTTTTGTCTGGTTTTGGTTTTCATGCTGTTAGTTTTCTCACTGCAAATAGAACTTGTATGGTATGGAGCCTAGAAAGACAGCTACTGCTTTCATATTTCTTATTTTTAATGAAAAGAATGAGAGTTAGCTCCTCTAAATATTTATATTAAACCAATTAAAACTGTTACATTAAAATCAATATCCTCGACACTCCCACTGAAGTTGGTGCATATATATCATATGTACCAAGCTTGTTACAAATATTTCTCAATTGAGAACCACACAAAGGTTTGGCAAACAAATAGGCTGACTGATCTACTGACTTGACGTGACTTGTACGAATTACGTTCTGTGATAGCTTCTCTCTGATAAAATGACAATCAACTTCAATGTGTTTTGTTCTTTCATGAAAGGCTGGATTAGAGGCAATGTTAATTTCTTGTTGGTTATTATCACATAATAAATTCATAGGATGATGATGCTTGGACCCAAGTTCTTTTAACATATGTTTCAACCAAACCAACTCACAAGTAGCATATGCCATAGCTCTGTGCTCGGACTTGGCACTTGATCAAGCAACCACTGTTTTTTTCTTACCCTCAACACTTAAAAAACTCTGACATTTTGTTAGGTATGCGCTGCAGTGGGAGTCTGAGAATCTGATTGCTGCAAGCACTGCAATTCAGGACTGGCTTACATCAAGTAATTTATCATGGTCTCATAGCTGCAGTGATTTGAAAGTAGCTTCCACTGTGACAGCAATAGCAAACAATATTGACATTGCTGCTACTTGCTTGCTGCAGAAGTTGCTGTGGAGTTAATGAAGGGAGGTGCCATGATGACTGTATTAAGTACTCTTATGACAGCATTGGCATGGCCAGCAGCATTACTTACTGCTTCTGATTTTATTGACAGCAAATGGGCAATTGCAGTGAACAGGTTTGTCTTGTCACTTGAAAGTAGGATCATGGTCATTAGAATCTTACAATTCACAATTAGATTCATATGATTCGATACGAGTTTCAACCAAAATGATTCGATTTGTGCTGTTGAATCTTAAATTGAGTGATTCTTACGATTTAATTGTGTTTCACTATGATTCTTTGCAATTTGCTACGACCCACTGCGATTTATTACGATTCGATTTGCAATTTGACATCAATGAGTGGGAATAAGAGTGAAAGGGAAGAGGCGAAGAAACTGTCCTCTATGCTCTAGTGTAATTTCATACATTCTGCGCTCATGTGGCTGTATTAAAAAAGAAGGTTATATCTAGAATGTGCATTCAATATAAAATGTTTTTGTAGAAAGTATGAATGCTAGCTGAAAGGCTGAAACATTTTGGTACTTTCAAGATTGCTCAAAATGACATTTTGAAGGTCATCGCTTGTCAGTTATACAAATCCAATTCATTATTAAAGATTGAGAAAGGATTCACTGTATCTGATTTGTGGGAGATTATGTTGGATCTCACCTCAAAATGTGTACTGTATAGGAAGGGTTATGTTTTTCCCTTTCTCCTACCCCAACTCTTACTATCCTTTGGGAAGTTTCTTATAATTTTTTGGCATTTTGATAGATCTGATAAGGCGGGAATGCTGCTTGCTGAAGTGTTGCTGAAAGAATTGCAAGGACACAGGTAGACAAGGCTTTTCAAAATTAAGATCTTTTTTGCTCCATTACCTTAAATGTTTGAGTTGTACAGTATGTCCAATTCTATTATTGGCTGCTCACAAAATTTTCAGGCCTGTGACACTTATAGGTTTTTCACTCGGAGCACGAGTGATTTTTAAGTGCCTCCAGTTCTTGGCTGAGGCTGAACATAATGGTAATGGGTACCAGTCACAAAGCATTATTCTTTCATCAGTTGTTTGGCTTGCTTGAATGATCCTGGTATACTTCTGCTGAATTTGACAGCTGAACTTGTTGAAAGAGTTGTTCTTTTTGGGGCACCTATTTCAATTAAAGATGAGAACTGGGAAGCAGCTAGACAGGTAATTGGTGTTTTATTTATTTTTTCTTTTGTTATCTCCTTGGCTGTTTTTCATGCCAATAATCCCAAACCTCTGTTATGTTTAGAAGTTACTTCATGCTGTTTTGCAGGTAGTGGCTGGAAGATTTGTGAATGTTTATTCTACAAATGATTGGATGCTAGGAGTTGCTTTTCGTGCTAGGTATGCAACATATACAAGCACACTAGATGAGTATCTCAGAAGCTGTTTAAAAATGTCAGACTTACGCAGTCCATATACATATTGGATAACAACCATGTGTTGAACTGATTTGATAATTTTGTTACCAGTTTACTTTGGTTAATTTTGTTTGCACACCACGAATATTCTTAGTTCACATCATTTGCTATTCAGATATTAACTTCCAAACAAAAACTATTGTTTGAACAAAAAACCTTTTTCGAACAATTAGTTTTTGTTCGGTAGCTGCTATCTGAACAATTAATTTTTGTTCGGAAGTTGATATTTGAACCCAAAAAAAAAGAAAAAGAAAAAGAAAAAGTCAAGTGTGGTGAGGTGTGCAAATAGAAGCTCCCATTTACTTTGGGCTACGTTGAGCAGCTAGAAAATGGCATTTTGTGATGGATTTAAGCTAAACCTCAGGCTACTCCAACAACCTAAGCACACTCGTGTAATGTATATGCCTATTATTGCATGATATATAGTTATATCATATATAGTCATTTATAACTAAAACATACACTTGAAGGAAAGCTCTTGCAGCATTTGTAACAGAAGAAATACGACTTCTTTTCAATATGATGAAAACCTTATTTTATTTTCTGGGCAATATGGTCACATTTGACCTTTCCTCTTGCTCCTTTCCTTTTTCTCAACTTTCTATGTGTGCATGTGCATGAAAACTAGGGTCTCTGTTTTATTCAGTTGGGAACTCTTTGAAATACTCAAGTGTGTTTATATGCGTACATATTTATATAAGAACTCTTTTTTCATTGTTTATTTTGTTCTTTCCATATTGTTCATTTTTTTCTCCTTTTTTGGGCATACACAATTACCGATGTTGCTTCTTTCAAAACAATCATAAAATAGCAACTGTTGTACATAATTAAAAACTTGTGTAACAATCAACTATGTTCATTCATTGGAAACGACAAGCATATTCTCCATGGATTAGCTAAGAACAAATGAATGAAGAAGAAACGAACTGGAGAAGATGGGATAATGCAAGCAGTGGGGGTCCTGCGTTGGCATGTGTGTGGGTTTGGATGTACACATAATGAAAAATATATTTCAGTCTCAATTTGTGGTGTTCTGCCACATGGGTATTGACACTCAAAATGGTTTACATTTGAACAGCCTACTTTCTCAAGGATTAGCTGGAATTCAACCAATTGATGCTCCTGGAATTGAGAATGTAGGTATCAAAATTTGTTACCAGGAATAGTTTCTGTTCTCCATTTTTTTTTTTTTTTGAAATATATTTTGCTTTGGTTTTCACAGGTTGATGTAACAGAAGTCATTGAAGGCCACTCTTCTTATCTGTGGGTTACGCAGCAGATCCTTGACCAACTTGAACTCGATGACTATAATCCTGTTTCTTGTAGCGTTCTCATCAAACATTAGAATGGGACTTGTTAACTAGTTCAGCTCAATTCTTCCTTTTCTCATTCTCCGAGTGAGAGCACTTTTTCATTTTCAAATTCCTCAGCAACAGAAGCATAGATATGGTAGCAAGAGAACTTGTACCTGGTCATGCCTATCTTATGTAAATTATGCCATTTTTGCTCTCTTATGATCCTTAAATCTTGAAGAATTTCCCAACCCTCCTTATATTTCTATTCCAGGAATTCAGGAATAAACAAAGACCCTTGGCGGTATATTCACTGAATATTTGAGGATTCTATTCCCAAAGAATGAAGAAGTTTTTGCTCATTTCAAGAATTTGGAAGAGGATGCATATACTTTTATATTTTGATTTTCATATTCTTTACTAGAGTCAGCTCTGCAAATAAATGTGTCCGCGAAGGCTTGATGATGTATGTTTCCAGTAAACTAAGCTTCCGAATGTGCTATTTTGATATTGTTTATCATTTCAAGAATTAACCTCTAACTTATAGCCAATGTTTCTTGTCTGGTAAATGTTTTTATCAAATACTTTTAGGTGCCCACAAGTTAGGCCTTCGTGACACAACAAAGCTGCTATCTTGTCCTAGTGAAGATTTTTGCTTACTATCGAGAAACAAATTATTTTTGTCTATTTGTGAGGCGTTTGAAATTTTGGATAGAGTTCAAGAACAAAGGGAAGGTAAATCGTAGTTAATGTTTTTGGTTTCTGTTTTTTTATTTTTGTTTTCAAATTTTTTTTTTGAAATTAGAAATAAAAACTTGTTAAGTATTTTGTTTGCATTTTCAAAAAAATAAAAAAAAATGCAAACCCTGAAAATGAAAAGAAGTTGCAAAGATAGTGGTTGCAAAGGAGACTGCGAAGTGATGATTACGGTGGTGAGGGGTCACTTGGTGGTGTGGTGTTAGGGGGTGGTGCTTGGAGGTGATGGTGGCGGCAATGGTGGTGGTTGTAATTGTTGGAAAATAATGATTTTTTGACAACTTTAATTCCAAATTAAAGTGGGACTCAACTGTCGGTTGAGGTGGGTCTTAGTGATTTTGTATTATCTCAAGTGAGAAGATTACAATATAAAAATAACGAGCTGAAATCATTGAGTTGTGAATGAGAATTGTCTCATAAAGTGGACATTAATAAAGTTGGGCTTAAATTTGGATTTAGTTTTAGTTTGGACTGGACTTAGGCTTGTGCATATGTTGGGTTTGGTCTTGGACTTGGACTTAGACTTGGACTTAATCTTGAGCTTGGGCTAAGCTATGTTGTATTGAGCTTAATTTGTGCATGTGTTTGAGAATTGGGCTTGGATTGGGTTGTAACCCAACATTAGTATCCATTTTATGACCCATCTAGTTGGTTTATTCAACCACCATTATATACATATTTATTTGTATATTTTAAGCATATGGGAAGTTTAAACTTTTCTAACTCTTATCTTTTGATGATGGAGTTGATGACCATATTAGTGGCCATAGGTTCTCAATTTTTATAACTCTAACCCTAATGGCTAGAGTTGATGGCCTTTGTTAATGGCATTTGATGGCCCTATTGATGTATAGCCTTCGTAGGTAGGGATTCCCCTACTTATATAAATAGAGGCCTTTTCCCTCCAACTTAATAGGATAATTTTGAAGAGATTTTTGATGAAAAATGGAGATAGTGTTTTGAGATAAAAAGTTGGAGATGTTTTTTTCCCCACCAAAGAATATTTTTTCTATCTTCTTTTGCTAGCCCCTTCTTTGGTTGTTGTTAAAGAGAGTGCAATCATTATCAAGTTCCCCGAAGCTAGTCAGAAGGTGCTTCTGTATTAGCTGGTTTCAATGTTGTATCCTGGGAGACAGCTGTTGGCGTACCTCCAGCATCCATCAGGAAGCCGTGAATCTGTTTTAAGGAAACTGTCTAGTGTAGGTTTTGATTTGCTTCTTTTCTTATCATTTATTCTTATTTTTTTCAATATTTAGTTTACAAATATGAGTTTCAATATTTAGTTATCCATGTTAATAATTTTTCTATTAGTAATGTAATTTAATTCATTTATGTATTTTTAGTTGTGTTGTTTATTCTGTATTTCATCATTTTAATTAAAAAAATTTATTTTGTCATTTCTATTTAATTTATTTTATATTTTTTTCTTGTATTATTATGAAAAAATACCAACAATAATAGATGGAAGAGTTAGGATTTGAAAGATTTTGAGAGTAAGAAGGGATGAGGTTTGGGATAAGGGTATAAGTGGCATAAATAAGTGTGTAAAAGAGACAAACTAATATTTTTGAATTTTTTGAGAAGTGTAATTAGAATAATGGTGTAATAAAATAAAATTATTGTGTAAATAGAATTACCTGTTCTCATTTATAGGCCATTCATTAGAAGTCAAAATGTCTGTCATTTTGATTTATAATTACAAGAATGCCATTGACATATTATTCTTGTCTTGAATTTTGTTTAAAAATTAGGGCAAATTAAACCAAAGGTCCTTGTAGTTTTCCTAAAGTTTCATTTTTAGTCTTTGATGTTTCAATTTGAACACATTTGCCATTCAAATTTTATTCTTGTATCAAATAAGGACAACTGTGGATGGAAGTTAAGTGTTTGGATGGAAAATGGTCACATGCATTGCACATGTCCATATTTTAAGGACAAAATGGTCTTTTTATCCTTCACTCTTTATAATTCATCATCTTCATTTCTTTATCAAATGAACCTTACATTAACAAAAAATACACCTCAAACTATTAGCAAATTTGGTCACTCTACCACCCTAAAATCCACCTCCCACCACCCTTGAACCACCATTAGAGCATCACCGCCAAAGTCTTTCCACCCCACCACTCTCACTGCCCTAAATTCAACTTCAAATCCTTCTAATGAAATCTACCTCATCAACAAAGCAGACCATCGAATCCACCCGTAGTGAACATCTTTTATATACACATCATACACACATATATACACACACAAATATATACAAATTGAAGTGAGTTTGATCAATGTACTCAATTATTTTGGTTGTCCGATATACACAACACACACATATGTATTGAATATGTTAGGTAGAGGAATGATGAGTTTTGTGCAATATTTTTTTGTTTCATATATATTCACACAACACACATATACATATTGTGGGGGCATATTTTGTGAATGATAGCACGTGGCCAAGGTGACACCGAAGTGTTAGCTGAGGTGCCACGTGGCTTGGTCATGATGCCGAGGTGATCTCGGCTAGGCTGAGGTTATCTGCGGAGATACTAGAATATGAGATACTAGAATACTAGAACAGGGAAGGATCTCATTCTGGATAAAGATAAGGCTCAAGAAGAGTTTATCTCTATCTAGATGAGGGTTCAGGATAAGCATGGAGCCTGAGTCCATTGAAGTAAGGTTTCTAAAGGGATCATGTCAGTGCTAGTTATAAAAGCATGACACCTTCGTGGGTCAGAGGAAAGTTCTTTCTTGTGAGATTAAGTACAATTTGCTATTTTTGAGAGATATTTGATTACTAACTTGATCGTCAGAGTGCCCCTGGGTGGACGAACCACCGCTGGATTCTTATTTTTCTATGACATGTTGTTCGGGTTTAATCTATTCTGCTGGTGCTCTCTAGCTTAGTTCCCCGTTTGGTTGTATGGTCGGAAATCAACACCCACAATTTGGCGCCGTCTGCGGGAACATAAAGAGAATAGATGGCTAACAACGGGCAGGGAGAAAAAATTAGGGACGACATCCCTAGTGGGAGTGGTAAATATGCCGATCCTAACATCGAAGAAGAAAACCATAATGAAGGAACACGGGATTAGAATCCCAGAGATAAGGACGTCGGCAAAGAGGGAGATGCCTCGAAGAAATTAGGCCAAGATGAGTATTACAACGAAAGCGACCTCCGGGTATAGAAGGATAGATGCTTGAGGAGGAACGGCGAGATGAAGGGAATGACCAACAAGTTGGCAGATCTATAATCAGTTGTCAACTTTATGATGTAGAACAACGTCATGCAACCATCGTTTCCGTTGCAGGACACATCTATGCCAAGGCCCAAGACTGATGCCTAGAAATGGGACAGAAAACAATCCCAGCAGTCCTGCAACATGGCAAGGAAAGAGAACACTCACATCGGCCTTCACGGGATGCAGGACGAGCAGAGTCGGTGAGAGGCGAGTCTTAGAGGATGCCTCATACCAAGGGAACTTGTGTCAAAGAATATCGGCACGTCCAGGGAAGGGCATAGCGATCCCGATTTTGACCCGACACTTGTGGTAGTCTAGACTCGGGTTTATGGTTTCTAAATGTTGTTCATTATTTTTTCCTCTTTATTCCTCCTTAAATTTGGTTCTTTGGACGTGTTGAATGTGTTTGGAACAGATTGGTTGCTTGGTTTTCAAATCTTGTGTTGCCTAGAATTTTGGTCCTCCCTTAGAGCGGCCCTTCTTGCGCTCGAACGGGATTTGTAAACTCTTAGTACTTTGCATGTCTGCAAAAGTACTGGAGGGGTGTTTTTTACGCTCGACCGGCGTTTCCTATGCTCGAGCGGGTGGGCGTTCAAGTGTCTCTGTTTGAGCTCGAGCGGTTTGTCTGTTGTCTACAAAGTACTAGAGGTGTGTATTCTGCACTCGAACGAGACTTCTTGCGCTCGAGCAAAACAACTTGTTGTGTCCGACGCTCGAGCGCCAACTTTTGGGCTCGAGCGGATTGTGCGTATATCAGAGCGCGAAAATGAATTTTTACATCACTTTTTCAGATATTTTCATCCTAAAACCTAAAGTTGAGACATTCTCTCTCTAAAACACACACACACAAACACTCTCTTTCTTTCTCTCTCTACATTTTCACTTAGTTCTAGTGGTTTCTCCACCCATTCACCTTTGTTAAAAAGATAGAACATCTCAAGAACTACACTTTGATCCGAATAGAGTTGGGTTTGGACATCTTTGAAGTTCCACCCTTGCTTGGCTCATCTTCTCTCTTTGAGGTAGGGACTTTTTACACTTTGTTATAGTTTTTAACTTAGTTATTTGTGATTGTATAACAATGATGGGTCTTAGGAGTATTATGGACAAACCTAGGGTTTGGGATATAAAAAATCAAAAGAAGGGTTTTGAGTAAATGTTGAATAGATGGTCATGGGGTTAAATGTAAGGTTGTATTGTGGCCAATGCTTGATTTGGGCCACTTGGGTTGCTATTTAAAAAGGGGAGGAGTTTTGCCCTAAATGGTTTGAATACTTATTTTGCATAAATATATGAAATTGACATTGTAAATATGAAATTGGATGGATATTGGTAGAAATGGTGGAATTGGATATGTATTATCTCATACTTATGGAAATTTAAATAAGTTATCTATCTTGAGATTGAATATCTGTTTAGAAATATCTGTATTGGGCTATCGATGAAGGATAGTCATGATTGTTGTAGAAATTGTATGAGGATTAGATGAATTGAAACTAATCTCTTGTTGATTGTCATTGAAATTGACTATATTTAAATACATTGCATATGTATGATTGATTAGGAGGAGAAAGCGGATGTACTTCATTAAAATTAAGTTGGTCGGAGTGTCCAGGGTGAAAGTCCCGAAATCTTGTATATACATGGGTGTCGGTTCCCGTAGACGAAATTTTCGTAAAATGGCAATGAGAAGTGTTTATGT